TGATGTGAAAGATCTTATTAAAATATAGAAATACGTAGTTCTAAAATTAATTTATATCTAAATTGAAATTAACAGGAACAGAACAAGTATATTTAATTATGCATAAAAATTTATTCGCATATGTCGAACTATCATAGTTTCTACGATACATCGAATGCATTTAAAGTTTTTTTTTCTAGTTTTGATAGAAACCTAAAAAGTTTAGAATAGGAATAATAAAGAAAAATCAGAATGCTTCTATGTCTTTGATTTTTTACATGCAATAATTTTGGTAATATCACTAATAAATGTAAATGTTTACAAACGATAGAAAAACAAAATGGTAACAGAAAACACAAATGAATAATCTTTGTGTAAAATATGTTTCAAATCTAATCGAATTTAGCTGATAAAAGTAATGCTACAAATTATCTTGCGGTAAATTATAAATTTAAACTTTAAATAATTGATACACATAAAGAAGTTAAATTAACTGCCGAAGAAAAGCTGAATTTTTTATTTCTTATGACAGTAGTAATGGAATGAAAAGAATTAATAATTATATGAATTGAATGTTTAAGGCTACAGTGGACTCCCAAAATCGTGAAAATCACTCGAAAAATCGATTCTCTGATTTTGACCATTTTGTATTAATTAAATGATCATATTATTAAAAAATCATACTATTTATAAAAACCTTAGGAATTTGCAAAAAATCTTAGAAATTTTCTTAAAAAATTTTGAAACAGTTTTTATTAAAAAAATACAATAATACTATTATTATTTTCAATCAGAAAAGATGTAAATGATAATTTATTTAAAAAGTTTAATTTATTCTTTTTTAAATTTCACGTAGCAACACATTTTAATGAAATTGTTTCAATCTAAAAATCAGACAAAAAAACTTTGTGAATGGCTCAAAAATGATTATCTTCAAAAATTATTGAAAAAAAAAATTTTTTTTTTTGCTTTTACCAAAATATTTTAAAAGCTTCGTAGTAATTAGCTTTACCCCCAATCTCTTTCACATTCTAATTTTTATAAAACTTTTATCATTGCATAGAATCTTATTCAGAATTTAAAAAAAAGAGAAAAATAGATTAATGCAAACATTTCTTATTACATTTAATTCTCTAATCTAATTTTACCATGCTTTTATTTTTCTCATAAAAAATGATACAGAGAAAGAAAAAAAATATTCAAAAAGAAACCCTACTTTCATTATTCAATCTAATTTATATCCATAATATCCAGAATTGAGTAATATTTATTTTAACGTCAACTATAAAAAATAAATTTTGTTTTTTTTAAAAAAAATAGAAGATATTATATAAACAAAAAAAATAGTAACATAAGAGATAAATAGTTTTAGTTATCTTTTAGAAACATATGGATCATCATTTTTGAANTGTTTATATATATATATATATATATATATTACTGCTGTTTATATTATAGTACAATATAAAGTTAAAAATCTAAAATAAAAAGTTCATATCATTCATTCTTGAGTATGTTTTTCTTAATCTTTTTATTAATATATTTCTATATAAAAATTTCAATTTTACGAGTTAATATTTAATTTGCTCAGTTATGCCAAATTCAAACTTTTGCTCTTGCTTTTTCTACAAGTAAAAAAATTCAAAATGAAATATTAACCTATGAAATCCTTTATTGTTTCTCTAGTGTCACTTTTAGAACGATCGGACCAAATTTAAACCATATTATTATTGCTGTGTTATACGTTAAATTATATATATGTATATATGATTCCACATATAACACATAAATTTAAATAATATATTACCTTACGAAACGCATTGATTTTTTAATTTCGTTCTTTGAATGATCTTGTCCACCTTGATCCTTATTATCACTGTTGTGTAATATGTCTAACCATATATTTGATTCTATATATAACACGTAATTATATACAAATCCATGAAATCCTCTATTGTTTCATCAAATGCAATCTTAGACTTATTGGTTCAACCTTTAACCATATTATCGCTGTCGTGTTATATGTTAAACTATTTGCGTGATTCGATATATGACACGTAAATTGAAATAAAAAATAAAACTATGAAATAGTTTATTTTTTCTTCAATTCAACTCTTAGAATAATCGGTTCAACCATAAACTTCATTATCTCTGTCGCGGTATATGTAGAACCAGATACATGGTTCTACATATAATATATAAATTAAAATAATATAAAAAATATGAAATTTTGATTGATTTTTAATTGTGATCTCGAAAAATTCGGTTAAACATTGAACCATATTGTCAATATCGTGTTATATGATTAACCATAAATATTGTTAAAATTTGCTGCAACCTTAACTACATGAACTGTGTTTCCGTTCACGTTGTACTGATTCGGTTATAAGATCAAAACTTGTTGCAGTACTAAGATTCAGTAAATTTGTAACATAATTGTTATTTAAAAACTTGAAATTTATAACAATGTATTTTAAGAATGTATAATGTAGGAAGGAAAACGCATAAAATAATGATAACAGTGTAAAAAAATTATTGTGTGAAATTTTTTTAAAAATTTTTTTTAACTTATAAATTATTGTATTAACACATATTTTAAAAGCAAATATATAAAATTTTATTATGTAATCGAATAATATCCATAAGTAGCTAAATTTTAATACTTTCTATACAGACATTTTCAAATATTACGAAAGAAGATAAAACATATCATGTCTATTGATTAAATTTGCGGACGAAAAATAAAAATAAAATATTTATTTAGAATTTGCGCTACGTTTATTTACAGAAATTTTTCTCTCAATATTATAATATTCAACATAAAATATTTTAAATCTATATATTTTTAAACATCAAAATGTCATTATGCATATAAATATGTTAGTTTAAGATTATCAAGATCGCAATATTTAGGACTTTGCTAAGTTTCTATAATTGGATTAACAAAAGAGTAAATAAATTTCAGTTCTTAGGAAACTTAGGAGGGTTACAAAAATATTTAGTTTTTAAGTACGATAAGGTAATTATTTAGTTTAGAATTAGGCTTCAGTAACAGGCCTATTTTTTATGTCAATGTTATCCGAGATATTAAACTTATTAGATTTGATTTTACATGTGCAACGTAAACTTTAACATTTGAAACAAATCAAAATTTACGAGCCGTATAAATTCATTTATAAAACTTATGCTCATCATATTGTATTGAATTTATGCTTATTTTTGATTTTTTCCAAAATTATTGTTACTAGTGTCTTATTGTTACGAAGAACTGAAATATGATATTTTTATTTTTTCTCTGAAAGTAACAAAAATGCTAATTCATTTTCAATTTTACAGTACTTGATAATTTTTATCCGTGCATTAATTATTAAGTTACATATCTAATTATGAAACAACATGAAATGTTTTTTATATCTTTTTGAAATTTTTTAATTGCTTTTAATTTTAAAGACAAAAACATAAAATATGTTTATTCGGCAGTAGATATCAACAGTTGGTTATTTAAAAGTTTGTTCTAATCTAATTAACATGTTAAATGAGCAATATGTCTATAATAAACTTTCTTTTGTAACTGAAGCGTTGGGCTACGTCTAAGAATATTACCAAAAAATAAATCTTTTGAAAACATTTGTTTTTCTCAACATAATTTCAAAATATCAGGTTCAGAATATAGGGGAAAAATTAGAAAAAAAAATTTATGAAAAATAGAAAAAGGGAAAATAACAAGTAGTTAAAATGGCCTAAATATTTAAATTAATAAAATTAAGCTTTCGAATATTTAATATTTTAGTCATTAATGTCTTTATTTGTATACTTGATGATGGTATCCATTAAAATAAATGTGGTAGCAAATATATGGTATAGAAGTGAATCATGAAATTAGAAAATCAGTGCTTGTATTGGCATAACTGTGATGAGGAGAATGATGCTACCACCATCATTTTTGATAGATATAATTTTATAACCGTCATTGAACAAGTCGTAAACCCAAATTTGGGTTTACGACTACTATTGTTCAACTCCGTAACCTTGTAATTTTGAACCCAATCCAGAAGACAAGGAAACTCCTGGATCAAGTATAACATTTTTGGTTGCATCAATCTTTGATTGCATCAATCAGTGGAGAGGAATGCAACGTGCTTTGCTGCAAAGGCAATTTATAAAAATGCCGAATTTTGGAAGAAATTCAACAAAATCCTGCAGTGATGTTGCAACAGAAAAGAGTGTTTTGACATTTGCCTATTGCGTTTGTGGAATGGTGGGCATCTATAAGACTATTTTTTCAGCTTCGAAACTATATGTATTTATGCTTACTGTGTGTCCTTTATTTAATATAAGTATTATCCTATTAACACTTTTAAAATCACCCGATTTACGGCCGTACATCACTCTTAATTTTTCTATTTGAACTACTTTTTCTTAAACTATGTCAGACGAAAACCCGAGGAAATCGCAAATTAGAATTTGCATAAAAACAAATTAATAAAGCTAAAATTAAAAGAACACTTAAATACATAAATAAAAATTTTATTAATTATTAACTACTTAATTTAATTATTTAATTTAATTATTTTCAATTAATTATTTAATTTAATCATTTAATTTAACCATTTAGTTTAATTATTAATTTTATATAAAATCTGGTTTACTCAAAAAGAAATTCATGTTAAAGAAGTGTTTTCCAAAAAGCTTTAAACTATTTAAGAACAAAATGGGAATTATATATCTATAAGCTGAATTGCGTTGTGCAATATAATGGGTAAACACACGTACAATAAAATAAAATATTACAAGATCAGATGCGAATTTTGTAATTATATCTTTATGAAACTTGTCTATTGTGTAAACTAAAATTCGTATACTATTTTTTATATTGTGATGAATATAATGATTTTTCGACTGCTAAGCTTTCGAATATAATACATGTTTAAACTGTTATATTGATTATAAATCTTTAATTAATACTTAATAGCTGATTTTTTCAGTAAAATATATATGTTGATTTTTTTTAACTATTCCAGGTAGCATGGATACACACAGATCGCTACACATTGCTCACATTACAGAACCGTGTTATAACGCGGAATTCGAGGTACAAAGTCACTCATAGTAATCACAGAACTTGGTGGTTACACATATCTGATGTACAAGAACGAGATAGAGGAGAATACATGTGTCAAATCAATACGTCACCTATGAAGAGCCAAACTGGCTACATAGAAGTTGTTGGTGAGTTAAAACTTTCTCAAAAATAAATGTAATTTGAAATTTTACATTACTTGGTAAAGAGATAAGGGCAAATACGTAATACAAGATCACTTTTACTAAGGATAAATTTTTACTCTTTGAATAAAAATTATCACCACAATAATGTTACTGTTTATATGGATTTTCATAAAACCATAAAACAATATTTTAATTTTATTGTCAATTATTAAGTATTTTAGCATTAACTGCATACATTAAAAGCGAAAACTTACTAGTAAAATAAACAAAAGTACCGATATTACACATTGGAATAAAAAATTATAATTATTTTAAATAAAAAAATAATTATTTAAAATTTCGTCTCGGATTTATGAGGAATAAGTCCAAGAAAAATAAATCACTAGAAATATGGATTTGGACAATTTGATCCCTATCGTTTTTTATTGCTCCTTAATTCAGAAAATAATTTACTGAAAGTATTTCTGAATTTTCATAATTTAGTTTATTTTAAGTGATTATTTAATTACAGCTTTATAGAAACCTATATAAGGAACTTTATACCTAAAATGACGGGCTTGACCATAGTAACCCCTTGGGTTCTTTAGTAGGTATCCCGTAACCCCAGATAGTTTTGGGTGTTAGGTATCCTTTGCTATATATAAGGTTCACCAGTTTCGTTAAAGTAAGGAAGAAAAAGTATTATGTCCATATCTATAATTGTTGTTCATGGAGAAAAGGAAATGCATGAAAATTGTCTAAGGAACTAATGTAAATACGTAGAAATGCCTATTTTCCATTTAATCAAATATTTTTGTTAACCAAATCGAATAAGTTACTTTAGAATTTTGATTACCAAATCTATCGTTTTTAAAGTAATTATAATTATATTTTAAAATTTTCGATGTCTAATTATTTTACACGCAAACGATTAGGTATACAACAATGTTCAGTCTTTCTAGTATTAAATTATTTTATAAGCATCCGGAATTTACTTGATTACATTTGTGTTCATGCTTATTTCAATTAAACAAAGGGTTTTCATAAAATTATTATAGGCAAACCGTAAAACGAATTTGTGTTACATGGCAGAAATTTTTCTCCCTAAATTATTTTGTCGTATTTTAAAAAAATTTGCGACAAATTACGCCAGTAAATTTATGTAATAAAGAACCATTTATTTAGCTGTTATTTTTCCAGTTCAAACAAAATAGTTAAATAACCATAAATAAGATGGTATTCAAAATGTTAAATGCGAGAAAAATTGTTCATAGCAGCTTTTATTCATTACGTTTAAGCAACCAGCATGTTATCGCACCAACTAGGCCCCTTTAATGAAACCAATTAGTTTCTTTTGATAGTTGCATATTATAGCAGAGAGGGCTAATTTAACAATTTCTTGACTGGCACAACGGAGGATCGAGTCCAAGAGTTGACACTACAATAATTCCTCCAATCCTTTTAACACACGAAGAGTTTCCAATGTCCTACACTCTCCAATTTGTGACCCTGGGCAATTGAAATATGATACTCTCATTCACGCATAGATGGCAGCACAATAAGGCTACTAAATTCTCTTGAGTGTCCAGTTAATTTTCTTTTTTATTTTTTTGAAAAATTAATGCTTTTTTTTAATGTATAAAGTAAATATATTAACTCTTGGGAGAAAAGGCAGCGTTATCCTGAACCTTATATAATGAAATCATACAAAAAACTATAATCAAAAATTAAAAATTATTAATATTTACTGCTACTAGAAATATTTCAATCTAAATTCGGTTATGAAATTTATTGAGGCATTATAAACTTCTCCTTTTTTTGTTGCAGATTCCTGTTTCCACAAATATCTAATTGCACTTTTTTTTCAATTTAAAGGTACCGTCAGCTATTTTAAGTATACTCATCAGTCTGCGAATAAGCTGCTAACTATTAGTGTTATACTAATTAGTTTAAGATAGTTATGATTTAGAAAAAGTAAATTATTAAGAATAGAACAGAACGAAATCATATTAACTCATTTAGCAGAAAGCTATATATACCTTAAAAAAATTATGTTTAGGATAAATTAGATCAAAATAATTTTTCGATGTAATTTCTTATCTCTATGTGTTTAGTTTTAGTGATCTCACTAAACAACTGAAATCCAATTTGCAATTTAAATAGCAATTATCTATCCGTCAAAAAAGTTAATAAAAAATTCTGAAGTTTATTAGATATTTAAACAATGTCATTAGGATTAATAAACAATGAAGAATATTTTCAGCACTGTTTAAACTTAAAAAGTTCTATTACCTATTATTTCCACAATAGGATGTATGGTTAAACTCATTTATTTTGAATTCTGGATTGTAAATTATCTGTCATTAAATATTTATTTTTTTTAAAAGAATGTTATTACATTTGGAATGGTCTAGGGAAGTTAAAGTATATTATTTGATTAGCTCTTAAACTATATAAGATGTTCAATTTAGTTCTTTTGCATTTTTTATTTATGTAAAATCAATTTTTCAAACTTGTAATTAGTTCGCAAAAGAAGTAATTTTGCATTTTCTTTTCTTTTTTTATTTTTACCATCTTTTATTGCCTCAAGAGTTTATTATAAAAAAACGAAACTTAATCTTTTGGTACAAAATGTTACATGTGCTGAAAGCGTTACATTTTTCATGCGCAAGACATTAATCTGTCAGTCTTATCTCGTATCATCAATATTATTGTCTCATATCATCACATGTCCCATAGATTAAAATATACATTTGGAATTTTTAGATAAGAACCATTAGGTCACAGAGGCTAAAGTATTGAGCTGACATTGTTAAGTTAAGTGCTGGAGTTCTCTTCTCCTTAGCAGTGTAAAGCGCATCCAGCTTCATATTAATAGGTTCCAGTTTGTTTGGGTAGAATTTGTGGTGGTGCGTGATGATGACCACATTCTTACTATCATGCCGTTAGTCAGAGCATTAGCATGTTATAGCTTATTTTTAAAAGAAAACTATTTAGGATAAAATTTCCTTCTCTTTTATATATTCGTATTCCTTACAGCCCCTACTGAATTGGGTGATAGCTAGACTGTATAGGGACTGAATGCTCCCATTCGCTTTTCTAATATAACTTCTTAAATGGGATTGCTACGAATAAAATCCAAATATAGAATGAATATATGCGTATGCTTTCGTTCCAAATTATTTTCCTAAGGTTGTTTAAAAATATTAACGGAAAAGAAGACAAATAATAAATTTGTTAAAATAAAAAACTTAAAAATCATCAATATGTAATCCTAGTAGTTTCAGTTATTTCAAAAATTACAAACATCAGTTCACATTAGATTTTTCTTTATTTAATTTTTCGTATTAGATTTGTAATCAAATATGTATGTTCATTAAATCACACATTAGCATGAGAACATGTAAACAAATGTATACACTTTGCACATAATTATTTGATTGAGGACTTTACAAAAACGCTATTAACATTTAACAAATTTCTTGTTTAGAAGAGGAAATCGCACCCGGCTTGATTGCTGTCAACCATTCGAAATCGTTTCTTTAATTTTTATTTCGACAGATTTCCATAGCGTATTAGCTTCTTTCTCTCTTAAATATTTCTCACTCTTAATGTATTTATTTCTTTAAAAAAATTATTGACAGGAATTTCGAGGTTAGTCATTGAAATTATATATTATATACACTTTTTTTATATTTGTAATGCAATCAGACTGAGATTTCCACAAAAAAACTTAATAAATGAAAAAAAATCATAAAGTGTTAGAAATGTATCAGTTTTAAACACAGTTTTATTTTTCGACGCAAACATAGTAACGAAAAATTATTTTTTATTAATTACATCTCACCTTTTTTTTATATCATTTACCCAATCTATAATTCTATTTGAACCACTTATCGTTTTTCAGAATATAACGCCAAAGATAAAATTAAAAATTCAACATGGCATAGATAAAGTGTGCAAAAAGTAAGAAAAAAACCCATATCCTTGATATATATCTTTTTCTTACAATATCCCTCCTAGCATAATTCTCATTGTGAAAAAAAATTAAGTAAACAAGTGAAATTCAAAACTAATGATACTAAAGTGATAAATAAAGCTTAAGCCTCACTTTCTCCTGCGGAACCTAAGCTTCGCTCCAGAATCCTTTACGGATGGAAAAGCCGGGTTTGATAAATCGCCGGCGATAGAGACACTATATCATTTTAAAGGCCATCTGTTTAAGAGCGGTTTATTAGTGCGGCATAAAGGCTTTAAGTCCAATTTGTCTGTATGTGTCATGCTTTTGGTACTAGACCACTTAAGGGATTATTGAATTAGTAAGCATAGACATTACACCATTTATACAATCCGATATCGAAATATGATATATGGAATTTAGAGTAATATTTAATACTTTTGCATTCAAGTTATTTATCGATCGCGGGTATAATAAATGGTATCAATTAATTTTTACTAATGTCACAAAGCTTACCTTTGCTAAATCAAACCAAATATTTACATTTGAAGTAAAATATTTTATTCTTCATATTGCAATAACTTGCGTTTTTAATTATCGCACAAGTATCTAAAAAAGCTAATATTTAAAAATTTCGCTATTTTCTTAGTATTAAAATGCTTTTCTCTGAAATATTAATAAATTTCATTCACATTGTAAATATTTATTTTTTAATTTAGAGTTGATAAAATGAACTATGAATTAGCGCAAAAATAAATTACCGAGTGCGGTAATAATAAATTATTTTAATTTATTTTAACCTAATTAATTTATTATTTATTTTGACCTTAAAATTAAATTTACTGAATCAATAAATCTGAGCTATCCATTTTGCAGTGACATACGCTTAGAATTCGCGCTTTGTATTATAACTAGTTAATATTTAAATACTTTTTTTAATGACTTTTTTAGAATTAAATTATTTTTTCTCCGAAATTTTGATAAATGTAAGTGCAAACCCTAAGCAAGTTCTTATTATTAATTATACACCCCTTAATTTATAAAATTTTAGATCAAGGCAAAATGT